TATTGTGTTCCTCCACATCATAGCTCAGGTTTGGACCCTCTGTGCTTACCTGAATTCAGGAGCCAGGTTGGATTTCAGGCCATAGAAGGCAGCAGATAAGGTCAAAAGCCAACGGGGAACAAAATTCCCATTCTCACACTCCAAGTAGGGCGCAGACCATCTGACGTGCGTCTTGTCCGGAATAAAACTCTCTCCTCTTTTCATTGAATTGTCCACCGATCTGAAATCTTGGCTCAGCGCTCTTTTATGGAAATTGGGGTTCTTCCTGTCTTTTATTTCGTGGTACCACTCTGTCTCTGCTGTGCGGTTGTGCAGATGTCGGTGGGCCATGTTGGAGAGGTCTTGGAGTACTATTTCACCGCCGGCCCTGGTGGCTTGAAGAAGCACCGAGGGCCCCGGGAAGGATGAATCCCCGCTAAAAGTAACAACCGCCCGGTGAATCTTGGCGTCTCCCTCCAGTATACTCCTGACTAACGCGTGGTACCACTCAATGTCTCGCCGGAGGTTGTGCTCCCTGGACCTGTTGGCTTGCAGGATCATGTTGAGGAAGTTTGTGGCGTGCAGCACCGTATCCAGCACGCTGCTCATGGAGTAATGCGGGGTAGCGTGTGACCTTCCCCGCAGAGAGGTGAGCTCGTACTTTCGCGAGCAGTTGGCATGCTTTAAGGTGGTCGAGTCCCCGGTGTGTAAAAAAGCCGTGACGACCCTGGGTAGAAGCTCGTCTGTCTTCTGCGGCAGCTCCGCCGTCTCCCCGGCAGCGTGATGAGGCGCACGGAGATGCGCCAGCTGCCAGCGGTGCGTCTGAGCGCCGTGAATCGCCTCCCGTGCCCCGTTATCCTCCCCGTGCCCTGACCATTCCGCGTATTTAAGGTTTGATCCGATCACAAATCCAACTTGCAGCAGCAGCGACAGCCGGAAAACAGCCATCTCCCTCCAGAGAGCGACCACAGATGTTTGGGGGATTGCTGCTCGGAATTAACAGTGTCGTCGGGCGAGTGTGCTGTAGAAAAAACACAGAGAACCTATCAAATTGCCCCGCTAAACCATCGCTTCACCACTTGTAGGATATTCTTCTGAGCTCCACGCCTCTGTTCTTGAAATCACAAAAAGAGGGAAACCCGCCAGGAACCCCTTCCCTCGTCAAATGCCTTCTTCTTCCTCACAGATGCCTCATACAGCTTGTTGATGTTGAGTATCCGCTTGCAGCTGTTTCCCCCCCACCTCTCTCTCTCCCTCTCTTTCACACACTGTAGACAAGACTGTGTTGGCTTTGCTGTGCCGCGGACGTTCTCCTTCTGCGTGTAGGCTACACAGACTGAATCAAAACGAGGAGGAGGGAGGGGTAAGGGGCGGTTATTATTATATTTATATGCTTTTTTTAGGAGGCACCGAGTCGAGGAGCTTCTCACTTGGATGGCAAACGCACTCCGCCCTCTTCCGACCACAGCAAGCATTAAGCAGGCCTATAAAAGCCACGAAGAAGCAACATCAGGATCCGTGCGCTTTCAAAGCCCGTCGTCTTCGTCATCTCATAGGGGCTCCAGGAGCGCCATTGATCCGCGTGTGGCCGCTTCTTCTGTCAATCTCGGAGCGGTGTTTGGTGGAGCGGTGAAGGAGCTGTCCGGCGCTGAAACCGATGAAGCACTGAAGGAGCTGTCCGACGCTGAAACAGACAAAGTCACCCTCAGCCGATTTATCACGATTAAGCACTTAATTTTAGATCAATTTTCGGAGACTAAGATTTTTTTTCTATCATCAGTGAGGGGAAAGCTTTATTAAATACGATTTGATTCATGATTGTAAACTTTTGGAGCAAGGCGCAGACTGGATTCATCTTTTCTTTCTAAATTGAAAAACATGTCATCTGCTATAGGCTGCTATCTTCAGATCTGAAAGCTGAAATGCTTCTGACTAGTAATTTATCTGCGTTTCTCTGATTTTCACCTGCTTCCACAACAATTCACCTGACCTTCACATTTAAAAATATGCTGGTGTATTGTTGGACAGATGAATAAGTGCACCACCAAATCTGAAGTCATTTGGATGAGAGGTTCTCGTGTTTTGGCTAAAGGTTTTTCTACAATAGAAATGAAAGCCAAGCCTCCAATCTCGGTTTAACCACAACAACAACGTGCTGCTCACTTAAACCTTGCGATGATGCCTGTGTTGGCTTAAGACTTTCTTTTTTGAGTTGTTTTCATCTAATATATGATTGCGTGTTTTCTGATTGGTTTCATTGTTGTTTATATGCCCGCATGTAATCTTTCCAAGGAGCCCTCTGTGTATAAATAGTCCTGTCTTCCCTTCAGTATGGGGCACAGCATGCATCCGTCATGCTCAGCTGTTAGGTTTCCAACTGTGTGATCTTCAATTTTTGGATTTCCTTTGTTTCTGAACTTTGTTTATGGTCTAAAAAAGATTCATGCCCTCTTTATCGCGCCTTTTGGTCCAAAACTGCACTGTTGTGCAGGGAAGTAAGAGCAGGTAGAAAAGTTCTGACTTTTCCAACATTTTGTCACTCTTTTGTCCTAAGATTCAAACTGGTTCCTCTAAAATACAGCTGGTATGTTTGGGTTTAATTTACATAAAAAGTCAGTCTGTGTCACTCACTGTTAATATTTAGACAGACACGCACAGACACACACACACAGTGAATCTATCCTTACCGCACTTTTAAAACAATAACTTTGTGTTTACCTACATTTGATGAGTTTAGGAGATACGACTGAATTGTAGGTCCAAAAACTGACCACAAGATAACTGCGTTTAACTTTTGGGGGGCAATAAAATGTGTGTTCCTCAGTCTGTTTTTCTCAGTCTTTTCCTGACCTAAAATGTAAAACAAACAAAAAAAAGTGTAAAAACAGAAAGAAATGAGAAAAAAATACACCTTTTGGTTATGTAAATTGAATGAAAAGCATTTAATATTTTCTGCAGTATTTCTGTCTTTATTTCTGTGACACAGTGGTGCAGAAGGTAACAGCAAAAAGATTCTGGAGTTGAACTTTCATGAGGTCTCCCTGCGACCCTAACATGCATGTCCAAAGCCTTGCATGGTATGGATACTCAAGACATCTCTGAATGCACACATTAATAAGGCATGTAGACACACCTATCATTCACATTGGCATGCAGTAAAATCAAATGTGAGATCAGAAAACCTTTGAAGCTTTGGTTAAAATTAAAGAAGTGCTACGCAAATACCAGTTCACATCTGAATAAATAACAAATATATGTAATATATAAATTAATGTGTCCCCCTGCCTCTAATTTTCCCCACTTTTTAAGAGCATTGAATAACATTATGGTACAAAATTTCCACCAGAGGTTCAAGTGCAAATAAGCATCCTACAATAGTAGTGCTTTAGCACGTAACACCCCAGTTCCATCTCTAAATATATAATTAAGTGCTTTATTTTATGAGAGAATAAGTTATCTTTTTTTTGCAACATATTGTTTTTTTTTCTATAAATTCTAATAAAAACTAGTGTTAGACATGTAAAAGTGCACTAACAGATGTGGGATTTTACAACACAGGAAAAAGAGGAACACGATGAGTTTTTTTATGTTATCTCCAATCCCTCTTCTTATCAGTTGATGCTCTTACATACACCCACACTCTCTCCATCTCTGCCTTCGTCCTGGGTGTAGGGCCATCTCATGTCATGCTGTGCAGCCCAGAGGCATCTCGCCTAGGAAGCAGGGCGAGGGAAGACAGGCATGACGGAGGGTGACAGAGCTGTGCAGCAGCCATGAAAGATGCAGAAAGTTAAAACCAGAAGACTTTTCTTTTTTAAGTTCTACTTAGAGTAAAGCTGAATCCAAGGCTCCTTACTTCTCTTCCTCTTTGTTAAACTCTTCATATCTGCAAGTAAAGAGCCGACAACAAGACACCGGCAGCTACCGTTGCAGCACCGCTGTACACAAAACACTTGATCCTAAGCAACCTGATTAGCATTCACTCTGCATTACCCTAGAGTGGAAAAAGCAGTAAGAACCACTTTATTCAGTTTATCTGTCCCAATTCAGTGTGTTGTTTTATTCTTTGGAAAGTCTTCAAATAAGAATACTCACAATTTACATTCTAATATTTAAAGTTTATATGCACACTAAATGTTAACCTATCTGCAGCAACAAGCATAAAGCACATCTATAATGAAGTTATTATTATTATTTCCTTTCTGTTTTCCTTTAGAAGGTCTCCAGCGGTTTATAGTTCTGTGCAAAATGCTACAAATGAATGCAACTGAAACAATAGAAAAATTCTAAACATCAGTCATGATCACAAGGATGGTGGTGGTAGCTTTGGTGGACATAACGCTTCCTTTTGAGGTGTGAGCCATCTGTATGGGTTCTTGTTTTTAATGCGCTGCCAGTTGGAGGCCATTATGATGAATATGCCACCAACACCACTTCCTGAAACTGAGAAATTGTGGTGCAGCTTAATTATGGACAGTTTGGAATAATGTGACATTTGAATGGCAGCTTTGCAATTGTTTTTGAGTCCCGATTGCTTCTGAAATCTATGTAATGGTATTTTAGGGCACTATTCAAAGCCACATACTGGCAGCGGTGGCTCAGGAGTTACAGTCATCCACTAATCAGCTCCTCCAGTCTGCATGGTGAAGTTTCCTGAAGCAAGAAACTAAACCCCAGATTGTCCGTGATGTATCTATCGATGTGTGAGTGTGATAAATAAAGGTCTGTATGAGTGGGTGAAAGGGGCTTGTAGTATAAAGCCTATAAAGTCTAACCAGGCAGCGATAAAAAAGAGTAGAAAAATAGACATTCACGTTAGTAATTCCTAAACATTCATTTAACTTTTGCAGCGATTTATCCAGATAAAAGTCATCTTATCTCTCTGATTATCTTAATGCAAATAATGGCATTAAGATAACTATCAGGATTTTCTTAACTGGTAGATTTTAGACAACATCATACGTTCACCTGCCTTAATTCTTCATGGCATATTCAAGGTGCTGGAAAGATTCCTTGGAGACTTATGTCCATACTGACATGATATCATAATACAGTTTGATTTGCTGGCTGCGTATGATCCATCATGGAACTCTTCTATTCCTTTACATCCCAAACAAGTGTCTTTGTGGGTTAGTTTTGCCTTCCTCAATTTTAAACAAACCATAAACAATGCAAAGTTTTTGTCTCAAGATATTTTTTCAAATTACATCTTCTCACTAAATGCAGCAAACATATTTTAAAAAAAACATAAAACTAGTTTGGTTTATCAATTAGTAAAATTACAAAAATAAAATAGTCTCTATATTGCGTTTCTAACGTAAAATAACGGAAACATTTTATTTACTTTTACACAGAAAAAATGTAAACATAATATGCTGAGATGCCTTCTTTAGTTAAAAGTTATAACTACTGAAAACTAGCTTTATGCTGTACAAACATATTGAAAATGTGATGAAATTAGTGTAAAATAACACAAAAAATGACAGAGGAAAAAGGAATTTTACTGTAATTTTACATTGGTTTGTTTATTCATTAACAGACATGTTGTGAAATTACAGAGGTTATCACCACAAAACTGGTGGAAAAATTGTATCAATGTTTTTTTATGAGTGTATAAAATCTGCAAGTATCGTATCAAAAGCTATCATTACCCTAATTTCACAGTTGATGTATTTCATATTACCAAAATTGGTAAAAGTTTAGTAAAATAATAACAATAGAAACTATTGAACCAAATCTTCCCTCTCATGATATTAAGAGGAGAGCGGACTTGCTAGCAATGCTAATGGCTGAGGTGATGTTAGCAGTTTTAGCTTTTCAGCTACCTGTACAAAATAATTAGCATTAAGTAGTATGCCTCTTTGGATTTAGACAGATTGATCTATTTACCTATTTAAGTGTCCCCTGTTCCCACATTTGTTACTCTTTCTCTTGGCAGATTCATTATGACTTGTTGGTGTCAAGGGCTAGTGAAAAGGTGAGTTTGCACCATATGCGTTTTAGGGATGTTCAGAAATTACACTTATATTTAAGTGAAAACCCTGAAAGATATATATATATATATATATATATATATTACATCAGCTGAACTATTTCAGTATTTTGTAGATTTTGAGTCTATATTGCGTCAACTTGAAGATCATATTTTCATTATTGCAACATTTCTAGCTCGCAGAATATTTTTAAGGATTTTTTTGTTAAATCTTTTTTTTTCTTTTTTTTTACGGTGCACATTGTGAGATTTTGTTTTAATAGTTCAAGACCTTATTATGCAGGGGGGTGGCTGTGGCTCAGGTAGAGCAGTTTGTGTACTAATTGGAA